GTTTTAAGAAAGCAGTGGCAAACCACCTCTGAAGTGTGTGAATAAATAAAATACACACTGACAATCACAAGTTTCTGAGTCTGCAATTTCATCTACAGGGTTCTGAATTTATAGAGCTGAAGCAATTTATGAGAATGCCAAGAAAATCAGGCTTCACTGTGATCCCAGAGACTCATGTCAGAGTTTCAGCACTCCAGCTGGAGCCCAATGAAAGAGGACAGGCCTTTTTTTTTTTTTGAATGGAAAAGTCAAGAAGGGTCAGGGCACTGGCAGAATGAATTCCACAGAGTGCTGTGCTGCCTGGGGTTAGACTTGCCTCTTGTACTTTGGGACTGGTATTCAACACTTGGTGTTTTGTCCAAAGTCTCCTCATTCCCTGCTTCAGACGAATTTAGACTCAAATTGTTTACTCCCCAACAACCACAACCACTCCCAAACTAGGGGAAAATGTGTTTGTTTGCACAGCAAGTACTCAATGCTTGCCTAAATTAACTGCCATTAGAGTTGAAATCACTATATATTTATATGTATGTATGTATGTATGTATTTATTAACATTTTGCATTTCCTGGATGAGATTCAATATTTTTAGCGTGAAGTGACTTGTCCAAAGTCACTGAGAGGAGTAGTAATAGGAAGAGGAGTAGGAGGAAGAGGACAAGGAAGAGGAGGAGAAGAAGAGTAAGAGAAAGAGTAAAATCAATTCTGCTATAATGCATATTTTGAAAATGCAAATTTATTCATATATAGCCGACACATTAGAGAACAATAAGAATTTCACCTTGACTTTTAAGAAAATTCGTAATCTCCTTTGGCACGGGCCCAATTTGTGCCAGGATTGCAACCCACCAAGGCCACCATCTCACTGTCAACTTTACTAACCCAGGCCTGCAGGAATGAAAACTCGACCCAAGCCCAACACAGTAGAATGCCACTATTTGATGTAGCATTTCTGTATGTCTTGAACATTTAACATGAGCAACATGAGTAAAACAACTCTACTATTTTTATTAGGATCTTATATTTTTCTGTATCGTCATGTTGTAGCTGCACGAACTGTCATAATAATGATGAAAGTGATGATTGATAAAATATAGAAATTTTAACTTTACAAAGCACTTTGCATATATTATCTCATTTGACTCTCATGATAACCCTGTGACATAGGTACTGCTATTACCAGCACTTTACAGATTACTATACTGAGGCTAATACACATGAATTTACTTCCTCAGGATCATATAACTAGTACGTGGTAGAGCCAAGATCTGAAACAAACTTCTCTGACAAGGTTTAAACAGAACATTTCCAGATCCCTGGCCACTATACCACAGCTGCCTATCAAACTCTTGCCAACCTCTCATCAACTTAAAAAGGTAAAAAGGTTAAACTGCAGATTTCACACAGAGACACACACAGACACACACACGCAAAAACACACACCAAAACCACACACCCCAGCACCGAATGCTTGTAGCATTGGAAGAGAAACAATTTCAAATGCTGAAACAGAGAGAAATATGCATATATTGTAAAGTAGTTCAATCACTGACTCAACCAGTCACTGGATGGAGGTAAGTCCGTACGGGATCAAGTTAATTCTGGAATTTGCTGTTCCATTGAATGAGGCAGAATAGAAAATACACAGAACTGATTAATAATGGTAATAACATTTCTACAATGCTCTAAGGTTTACATAAGTCCTTTCTATGGTATTTATAAGTGTTATCTCATTTGGAACATAGTTTTTATACGTATTATCTAATTTCATTCTCAAAACAACCCTTTGAGGCATGTGCTGTTACTATTGCCATTGGGGAGCTAAAAAAATTGAAGCAGGTGTAGATCAAGTAATTGGCCCTGGGTCACACTCGCAGTTAAGTGTGGGAGAAAGAGTTTAAACTCAGGACTTTCTGACTCCAGGACCAGCACTGGAACCACTGTGCAATCTACCTGCCCTAGGCAGTTTATTGGCCCCATTTCTATTTCAATTTAATACCACTGTGCCACCTACCTAATCCATGAAATAAAAAGAACTCTCCTTAGAGATTGAGAGGAAAGATAGCTGGGGTGAGGGGTAAGAGAGAGAGGAAGGGGAGACTTTCAAGCCAAGAGGCAGTATGGGATAGTCCAAAGAACACTGGGTTGGGAATCAAAAGGCCTAGGTCCCACTCCAAGGTCTGGCATTGATTCATGGTTAACTAAGAGAAACTCATTTCTCATATCTGCATCTCAGTTTTATCATCTGTAAAATGAAGTCATTGGATGAACTATCTATAAGATTCTTTTTTTCCATCTTCACAATCTGTGATTCTCAGGGAATTTTCACTTAAAGGTAGGTCAAGTATTGTCAACACTTTGATAAAAATATTCTGTGATGCCTGGAAGCAGCTAACTCTCCACCTCTTAAAACAGTGAACTTTTTTTCACCACCAATATAGTTTCTTTCCCCCTCCTCTGCGGTAACATGCAGATCCATCCCATGTTTCAGTGATCCAGAAGGAATTCTGGAAAACACCTAGCATCTCTACCTTAAAACACTTTCCACCACCCCTTAATCTCCTTGCCCACCATGTCACCATAGTGCCCCAAAAGAAAGTCCTGTCCGGATCCTGATCACGAAACCCCATATAATAAAATGGCTGAGCTACCAAGTATGACAGTATCTCAGTTACTGGAGAACTGATACAGCATCTCTGGCTACGTGAGCATAATCTTAAAATTAAATCCTTCATCTGTACTTTGGGGTTATAACTGGCAGAATTCAAGAAAAAATATATGAAAATTGGAATCGTCCTATTTTACGCACATGCTGGCTTTGCCAACTCAGCCCCTTGCTGGACTCCAGGATTTTTGTAATCCTCATAACACTTTGAAAATGGGCCTCCAAGTTATATGTTTACCATTTCCTGATTCCATTTACCCCTACCCCAAGCATTCTATAGTGTGTCCATGTCAATGTGTCTGGATCTCACCTATATACTGAATTCTTGCTTACTCAAAATTCTTTTCAAGGGGACCATAGAAAGGACTCTGAATTTCTATCGACATTGGTACACTCACATACACAGGATTTATAAAACTATTGACCCCAACATGAGTTAGATGATAAGCTAAAGTAGGGTGAACAGGTAGTAGGACATTAGAGTGGAGATGGGGTAGAGACACGACTGATTGGCTAAAATGACGCGCAGAAATCAATGGATGGATAACCGAATCCACTTTCCAGACTACTTTGAGATGCACCAATCAAAAATAATCAACTAATTAAAGACTCCAGAGGACTGTGCAGACTTGAGTAAAAGTTCTACAAGGCCCTACAGTACACAAAAGAAAAAACACTGGATTAAGCGTGTCGACCTCAAATCCTAGCTCTTTCATCAACTACTTCTGTGACTTTAGATAAGGTCCCTACCTTCTCTAGGCCTCCTCTTTCTACATGTAGAAAAATAAAGGGGTGTGAGTAATGTGTGTATGTATATGTATGCAACTAGACATTTAAGATTCCTTCCAGCTCTGCAAATCTGTGATTACATAATTCTTCACTTAGAAAACAGTTTTTCTGAAGGGAGAATTGACGAGGAGTCCTTCTGAGTCAGGCTCACATAAGAGATCTATTATCTGATTTCAGAGGTCACAACACAGTTGTTTATCCTGATTACAACAATCTTGAGCTTAAAGGTCAAAGCCACCGACCTGGCAGGTGAAGCTGGATAGAAACTAAAATGAACAAAGAGGGACAGAGCCTTGACATGAAATCCCATGAGCTCAACTTTGGGCAGCAGGAAAGGTGCTTTGGGAAAGGCCACTCTCTACATCCTTACTTAACAGCAGTGGAATTTCACAGATGCTACAGCTTCCTACATAAATCCACAGCATAGTAATCAGGAAGGGGAAAGAGATTCCTATCTATTCCCCTCCCCCCTGCAACTTCAGTCTCCCGCCACTTCATATACCAGACTTCAGTATTATTGTTATAAGCAAAGTGGGGGAAGTGGCATTGTAATTAGCTAAGACAGAAGTGAGGGGAGAAAAACAATCACCCTACTCTCACTGACTGTGAATGCACCGACATTTCATCTCCACAACTCAAAAGGGTACAAAGGTAGAAAAAAAAAAGGGGAGGAATAGGGGTTTGTGATTTCTTTTTAAAATCAACACCCTCTCATCCCCTCCCCCCCACCCAACACATGCACATACACACAGGCACACAATTTTAACCAACCAAACACAGACCAGTGAGAGGTGAATGAGCTGACCTTACAACCTGAACACATCTCACTGAATATTCCCAGGGTTTAAGGTTCAAACTAACTTCCTTATCAGAACCTCCTCCTGAAACCATTACTTCTCTGCATCAAAGGCCAAGCTCGTTAAATGAAAAAAATAAAGTAATGTTCTATGAGTCCTGTAATACCTGAAATTTACGCACTTTAAGGGGAATAAGTGGGAGTGAAGAAAAGGAAAGTCTTCCATCTGCTCAACCATTCACAGTGCCTGCTCCTCATCCAGAGGAGTTGCTTTCATCAGGGTCAAACTTTCTTTCCTCTTTACATTAATCATTAGCCCAGCACTCCTTAGGCTGGCCCATACTTTTCTTTGAATTGCATAATCTCAGAAAGCAATATTGGAAAGAAGATTCCCAAAACATGCCAGTTGGTCCTTCCAAGAGGAGGCACACATACCATCCACAAAACCACCCTTTTATGTTAATCATCATGCACCCAGCATTTTGCATCAAGCAAAAAGCCATTTGCAACACTCTCCCAAAAGCAAATCAAAGGCAAGCTGCCAGTGGTAGAAAAGAAGAAGAGAGAGGCACACAAAAACAGAAGCACATCATGGTTTGTGCTGGGCTTGCAGAAGTTGATTTGTAGCAAACTCCTCTAACCCTGGGATGTATACTTTGAAATGAGGAGACTGAGAAACTGAGACAGAGAAATGGTCCCAAACCAGGAAAAGGAAAGGGAAACAAAAGGAAAGAATGTTTTAAGTACTCACAGTTTCACCTGTGGCTTCAGAGCAAGTCCACTCTGATCAGACCTGCCACTTGAAAAAGAGATGAAATATTTTTGAGAGAAATTTTGCTATGGATAAAAAATAACCTTCACTCATATAAACACACATGCACAAGCATGCTCATACACACACACACACACACACACACACACACACACACACAACAGCAAGAACAACAACAACAAAAAAAAACCCTGAAAAATGAGCCCTAGTTTAGAATGTATAGAATAAGGTTCAGCATGGCACTGGTTTTGGTGGTAAGAGGGTAAACAAGTTTGTAGGGAGACTATAAGAACCTTCTATATGCTAAGTCAGACAGGGTCATGACATAGCTAAGAACGCATCCTTATTCAATTTACAGCAATTGTACTCACATTTTCCTAGACAAATAGATTTTACAGGCCCTCAGTTAAATGCAGATAATTATGGCTGCTAGTGTCGAGGGACTGCACTGCCCAAGCTCAGGAGCAAGAATACCATCCCTAAGTTCTACTAATGTTGTAAATTAGCAGGAAACATCCCAATGGCAGCAAAGTAATTACCAATGATTTCATTTTCCCTCTCACTCTCTCTGTTTCAGTGGCCTGCTATGCCGTGTGTGTGTGTGTGTGTGTGTGTGTGTGTGTGTGTGTGTGTGTGTGTGTGTGTGTGTTTCAGGCATATGCTGCTGTTAATGGCTCGTCTGTTACTTCATCTGCTCAGTAAGATTTTTTTTTAAATTTGGAAGCGCTTTCTCTCTCTCTCTCTCTCTCTCTCTCTCTCTCTCTCTCTCTCTCTCTCTCTCTCTCTCTCTCTCTCTCTCTGTAGGGGTTTCCTAATGCTCCAAGAGCAGAGACTGGCAAGGATGGACATAAGCACATGGTTCTAGAAAAGCAAAGGATGAATATATCAACACTGTCCTACTCACTTCAGCAAATGCTACTAAAATGTGGTTCCAGGGATATTGGGAGTCATTTGGTATGCAATAGGCTAAGAAAAAATTTTGCCCACAACTTCTCAGAGAGAAACCAAGCACCTACGAAGGATCACATACACGCAGTCCTCCCCATTACCTCACCTCCCACTCAATTCTCTACCCATGCATTCTGGCTTCTGACTCTCACTACAGAAACTGCTTTCTTCATTGTTACCAAAGATATTATATCTCCTATATTCAATGAACTTTGCCCAATTATCACTGGACTTGACGTTTTTGAAACTTATGATACTGTCTACTACTTCCCTCATACCTAACAGCTCCTTCACATTCTGCTTGCTCAATCCTTATCAGTCACACATCTGCTATGGAAGAGTGTTCACGAAAAACATGTCTAGCAGCTTATTCTCCTTCTATGCTCTCTTCAATATTTCATTTATTTACATAGGCTGTATTATCAGGTATACATAAATTACTTCTCTGTGGGTGTTTAAATATACAAATATATAAACACATACAAATACACATGTATATGTGTCTATCTGAATCTACATATACATGTAGATCTCCAGACTTAGGAAAGAAGATAATTAATTCTATTTTAAACATACTGAGTTTGAGTTGTTGAAGAAACATCCAAGAGACATCCAACATGGAGTTAACAATGTTAAAAACAGAACTCATTACCTCATTTCCCAAGTCCTTTCCTCTTCCAAACATTTCTCTTTCCGGTAAAGGCATCAGCATTCTTCCAGTCTCCCACATTTACAACCCCAGAGTTATCCTTGGATCTAATCTCTGCTTCACCCCTATTTCTAATTATCTGCAAAGTCTTTCCAATTCTCCAAACACAACATCTATCACATCCATTCCCTTCTTTCCACTTACGCAACCATTGCCTTAGCCTGGGTCCTCATCAACTTCTCTGTTCTCCTTCCTTTTCTCTCTTCTCCAATCTATCTTCCACATAACTCCCAAAATAATATTCCTGACATACAAGACTAATCAAATCACCCCTGTGCACAATTTTCAGTAGCTACCAATTACTTCTAGTGAAAAAAATTACAGATCACTCATATTGGAACTTAAAGCGTTCTACAATCTGACTCCCATCTACTTTTTCACAATTATTTTAAATTCCTCCCCTACACATGCACTGGTTTCCTGCCAAAACTTGCCTACTATCTGGTCCCCAACTTCATCTTTGCATCTCTGTGCCTTTGCATGGCTCTCCCCCACGTATAGAACATATTTATTCCTGACTCTTCGCGCACGATCATTTATTTAGTCATACCCACAACTCTTCATGACTATAGCATAGCTACACTGTCCATGGGGTTTTATTAGCAAAGATATTAGAGAAGTTTGCCATTTCTTTTTCCAATGAATTAAGGGCAAACAGAGTTTAAGTAACTTGCCCAGGGTCACACAGCTAGTAAGTATCAGAGACTGGATTTAACACTCAGGTTTTCCTGACTCCCTGCCCAGTGTTCCATTCACAAACCCACCTAGCTGCCTGCTCTTCCCTCTTAGCATCCTTGCTTCAGAGGCCATCCACCCTACTTAATCCCCCTGATTAATGCTTTCTCTCCCTCCTAAAAATTAAATTGTATTTGTTTATCTGTATAAATATCACATACTAACAGTGAAAAGAATGGAAATATCTTGAGGGCAGAGACTGTCTCTTTTTCTTTTTGTATCCACAATGCCTAGGATAATACCTTATATGTGGTTTTAATAAGACTGTAGAATTTAAATGAATTTTTAGATGGATACCATATTGTTGCTATCTATACAGCTGAAAAGACTCCTAATCTGCTCTGTGATCTTAAAAAGCAAAGGAGTTATATTTTCAAATTCAATTGAAAAAATTAATAAATATTTTAGCTGTAGAAGTCCCAAGTACCGATAGAAATGCATATTAGAATATATAAATCCAGATACATATATATATATAAGGTAATGTGATACACTGGAAAGACTATAGATGAGGAGTCAGAAGACCTCATTTCTCATCCCAAGGATACCACTTATTAGACATGTGGTCTCAGAAAACTCATTTAATCTCTCTGAGCCTCATTTTTCTTATCCAAAAAAAATAGGAGATAAGAGTACTTTCCTTCAGGGAAAGGATTTATTTTTGGGAACCAAATCACACTCATAGGTAATAGAAATAATATGGTATGGAATAATAGGACCTGAATTGAAAGCCCTTCTCTGTTACTTACTACCCTTCCTCAAGAATACATCCAATTTGTCCTGATTAAAGCTTGTACGCACCAAGTTGTTTCCATTATGACTCCCGCATTGAACTGTGAGCTCCTTGAAAGCAGGGACTATTGTTGCCTTCCTTTGTGTCTCTAGTAATTAGCACAGTATTTGGGCACACAGTAGGTACATAATAAATGCTTCTTCACTTTGACACTTTCTTTGACCTCATTTTCATTACTTGTAGACTAGGAATAGAAATACCTATATAAATGGCACTTGTGAAAAACACTTTGTAATCCTTACAGTATTATAAAACTTAATGGGACTGTTATTTTCCATAAAATATTTTGGACTACATGGTATCTAAGGACTTTTCCATCTCTGGATTACGATGGTTCTGTGAAAATACTATTATTAAAATGCTATTATCATCATTGAGGACATCCCCTAAAATAATGACTCCTATATCCTCATTTATAACAAAAAGATCAGCTATCCTCCTCTGCACATTTTTATACAGGTGTACGCATATTAACTATATGCCTTTGCCTGAAAGCATAAGGTGAACAACCAGGAATGAGGATTAGAGAGAAACAATGGTGTTTAAAAAGCATGGAGAAAATTGGGCTTAGTCACTGAATCAAAAAATCTGCCCCTTTAGAAAAAACAGATGATGTGGAAAGTAAACAGAAGAACATGTTAATAACAAAGATGATCATTTTTGGCCTTCTTTAACCCAAGATGATGGATTAGGGATACAGGAAAAACTCAAAGTCTCTATTCACTAAGAACAGAATTAATAACAGGAGATAAGTTTGATACAACAGAAAAAGACATAAGGGACAACAAAGTTGCAGATCTCTGGATCCTGAACACTATTTATTAATTCATTCACGTAATCAGTTATTTAACCAATGTTTATTAAGCACCTATTCTATGCAAGACAATTGTAGGAGACATTTATTGCCGATCTTTCCTAATGGTGGAGATAGAAGTCAGGGAGAGCTTGATTTCAGTTATGCAACAATGAAATATTCAAAATGGCCCTGAGTCCACCATGGGTCCCTTTAGGGGGACAGTGTTTCTTCAGGAGCAGGGTGATGCAAAGGGAAAAAGACAGTGCTAAGAATCACATGGTTTTCAGCGTGTCTAATAAAGTTTGATGTAGCTGTGGTACACTATATGTCCAAAACCAATGGATATAATATTAGAGCCGGTCAATTATATCGCTCTTGACATTCTCACTATAAATTAAACTTTAAGAAGGAAAGAAAAGTTATAGCAAAGCGGAAAGAAAGCTCACAGATTCTCTTTGGAAAAACTAATAGAAGAACTGACAAAGTTGGTTTTATTCTGTATACAAAGACAACAAGGAACAATATTTTATGGGACATCTGGTCAACTCATAATGTTGTGTCCATATGTAATTAAAAAGATTTCCATAAAAATTATAGGTCTGCAAGGGGCCTTGGAGAAGATATAGTCTAGGGGTGGGCAAACCACAACAAATGAGCCAATTCATGCCCTGATTTTGTACAGTGTGTAAATAAAGAATGAAAAGCATAGAAACCAATCTTAGCTCTCAAACCATACAAAGAGGGACAATGGGCCAGATCTGGCATATTGATCATAGTGTCCCAACTCCAGATATCATAATCTCTTCATTTTACAGATAAGGGAACTAAAGCCTAGTGAGATTGGGTGACGTCCTGTAGGTCATTTAGAAAGTATCAGAAGCAGGATTTGAATAGGGGTCCTCTGGCTCCAGCAGTATTGCCTCTACCTTAACTAACTGCAAACGATAAATAAGGAAGGAAGATCTATGAAGAACTTTATAAGATGTTCCAACTTAAATCAACATATGTTTACTGACTTCAATTAAAAGGTGGGAATAGGTAAAGAC